CTGCTAATGCAGTGAAGTCAGATATCGAGAGGATGAGAGGGAGATGGTGGACTGAGAAGAAGGTGGCGCTGTGCTGCAGGTACCTTGAAGATGAAGCTGGAGCGATGGCGCTGCAGGTAAGTCCCTCTGTCCTCTGCCCAATCTCTCTCTCTATGGTACTACTCTAGCTATGGTGCCCAACGCTGAAGACTACTGCTAACGCTACAAAGCGCCCAGCGCTGAAGACTATTACTAGCGCCAATACTACTCCTGCAACGCTCCTCCAAAGTGCTGTTGCCGAATCCTGAAGACTACCTCGTGCCTGCTGAACTGCATGTGAAGTGCCTGGGAAGTACCTAGGAACTACCTGCCGGCCTGCAGGGCGGGCTAGTCCTATATAGTGCTGACCCGTCCAGGAGGCTGCTCTTGCCAATGCCTCAACGTGCCTGACCCTGGGGTTGAAGCTCAAACAAAGGTTGTCTTGAAAATAGGCCAGAAATGGCCTGAGCTAAAACCCTGGTCTGGTGCCCGAGTTTCAGGGCAGGCCCCCGGAAATGGCCCTCATTTTCAGGCCGAAAACACTCAGGGCCGGAAAGACCCTGATTTAACATGAAACGACACAGGGCCGGTAGGCCCTTGTTTTCAGGCTTTCAAGCTAAAACGACACAGGGCCTGTAGGCCCTTGTTTTTAGGCTTTTGGCCTGAAAACGTCACGAGCCTGGAAATGGCCCATGCAGCCTGTTGCAGGTGCAGCATGTAACACCCCCCCCTCCTTATGAAGTCAAGCCGGGACGAGGGCGAAGCTGACGATCTGAAGGTGGAATGTGGATGCGGGTGCGACATGGAGCCGAAGATACCGGCTTGCCTTGCATCTTGCGTTCGTAGCGTGCGAGAACATCTGGAGTTGTTGCTTGGAGTTCCGCACGGGTTAACCAACGGTCAGCTCGGTGACTGCAGTACACAAAGTGTACCAAGTACTCGGTTGGCCTCTTGCCGTAGCGTCGCTGGGAGATGATGTTGCCGACCTCTTGAAAGTCGTCCATAGAGGGTGGGTCTTGCGATTGTCGTCCGGGAAAATCGTGATGTTCCGCCGGCGTGTAGAGAGCCAACTTGGAGCAATGAAAGACCGGGTAGACGGGCAAGTGGGCGGGCACCTGAATGGTGAAGGAAGGTCCTTCGGGTGCATCCCCGGCGGGTGCCACGATCGGCCAAGGCCCCATCCGTTTCAGGAGGAGCTTGCGAGAGATATCTTGTTCAAGGCTGAATTCCGTGGCGGAAACCCAAACGAGATCGTCGGCCCGAAATGGGCAAGGAAGACGTTGGCGATTGACCTATTGGCTCATGCGTTGTTGCGTCTTGGCCATCTGGTCGCGTGCCTTGACAAGTAGCTCTTGCATCCGTCGCAAGAAAAAAAGATGGTCGCCTCTCTCGGCCGTTTGTGGAATGATTGTGTGCAACGGAAAAGTGACCGGTGAGCCGTGCTCGAATTCGAAGGGCGACATTCCGATAGCCGAGTGGATGGACGAGTTGTATGCCAACTCAACATCCGGCAGCCGCTCAACCCAATCCTTTTGGTCGGGACAGATGAGAGTGCGAAGGAGAACATGTGCGGTCTGATGCGCCCTCTCCGTTTGGCCATCGGTTTGGGGGTGGTGAGCCGAACTTGGCTTGAGAGATGAGCCCCATCATTTGATGAGCGCCAACCAAAAATCGGACATGAACCGAGTGTCGCGGTCGCAGACGATTTCCTTGGGGTAACCCTTGGTTCGAATCCAACCGGCGTAGAGAACCTCGGCCAACTCCGGTGCCTTGGCATGATAGCGGCAAGGCAAAAACATGGCGAACTTGGTGAGTCGGTCGACCACCGTGAGAATCCCATCCACTCCAGTCTTGTGCTTGGGGAACGGGCCAGTAATGTCCATGGCAATCGCTTCCCTTCGCCGCAAGGGGACCGGTAACGGTCGCAACTCGCCGTACGGACGATGATTGCGGGATTTGCAACGTCGGCAAAGCTCGCATGACTCGCAATAGCGTGTGACGTCGTCGAGAAGGCCGGACCACCAAAAGCGCTCGCGGAGTCGGCCAATCGTACGATTGACTCCAAAGTGTCCGGTGGCGGGAGCATCGTGGAACTCGCCGAGAAGTCGTGTGCGCAAGTATAAATCTCGTGGCACACAAAGAAGATCCTTCCCACGTGAGTGGACGAGCAAGTACCCCTCTTGGATCCGATAGTGCGATGGCGCCGGATTAGGAGAGGAGCAATTTGCGTACTTGTCGCAAAAGTCGGGGCCGACTTTGTAGCCGCGGATGAAGCTGTCCCGCAAGTCGTCGTTAATCTCAAAAGTTAAGTAGACTGCGGTACAATGGTCCGGACGCCGTGAAAGAGCATCCGCAAAACGGTTTGACTTGCCCGGAATGTGGTCGGGGAATAAATCAAACTGGTTGATGAAGGCCATCCAACGGGCAATGGTGCTATTGACCATGTCTTGGGTCTTGTAGAAGACCAAGGGATTGCTATCCGTTACCCATTGGAACTGCCGTCGACTGAGAAGAAAATGCCGCCAGCGCTTGAGCGCGTGTACGAAGGCCAATAATTCCTTCTTCCATGCGTCGTCAATCGAGTGCATGGCGGACACTTTCTTGCTAAAGTACTCGATCGGGTGCCAGTCCACACCGTCATGTTGCTCGAGGACGACACCAATGCCATAGCCGGACGCATCGGTAGTGACACGTGTCGACAAAAGCAGATCGTAGATGCTGAACACCTCTGCGAATAGCAATGCGGCTTTGAGAGCTAAAAAGGAAGTCCGCACATTGTCGTCGAAGTCGAATGGCCGGTCCTCGCATTGAGGCTTGGATAAAGGAGCCACGATCTTCAAGTATCCCTTGATGAAGCGATGATAGTAGCCGGCTAAGCCAAGGAAGGAACGGACATTTGTGGCGGTCTTCGGTTTTGACGACTCTTGAATGGCTTGAATCTTGTCCGACAACGGACTGATGCCCTCCGGTGTGACAAAATGGCCCAAGTATTCCAGCTCTTGCCGGACAAATTTGCACTTGTCGCGGTTGGCTTTGTACTTGGCGCGGCGGAGCGTCTCCAACACTCGTTGAAGGTGCTCAAGATGATCCTCCAATGCCCGTCTATAGACGAGAATGTCGTCTAAGTAGACTGGTATGAACCGGTCCAGCATCGCACGAAACTCGTTGGTCATGGTCGCTTGAAAGATCGTCGGGGTATTGGTGAGGCCGAAAGGCATACGATCCACTCAAAATGCCCGTACCGCGTCTTGAACGTGGATTTGTAGCAATCTTGCGGGCGTATCGAGATTTGATGGTAGCCCGACTTCAAGTCCAATTTTGAGAAGAATTTTGCGCCACCCAAACGCTCGAGAAGGTTGTCAATCCGCGGAAAAGGTCCCGCATTCTTGACGGTTTGTGCGTTGAGCTTGTGGTAGTCGATGCACAAGCAAAGATCCTTGTTCTTCTTTCATACGAAGAGAACTTGCGCGCCGTATGGTTAGCTACGAGGGCGGATTCAGCCCTTGTCCAACAGATCATCGAGTTGCGCGTGGAGAGCCTCGAGCTCTTCCTGGCTCATGCGATAGATGCATCCTTTCGGTGGCACGACACCGGCCTCAAGAATGATCTCGTGGGAGATCAGCCGATCCGGCACCACATCGGTAGGAGACTCGAAGATGTCGGTGAACTCGTCGAGCAGCCGCACCACTCGGGGGTCCGAAGACAAGTCCGTAGGTGAAGATTCGGTCGTCGCGGTGGCTCGTAGAAAACATAGGCCTATCTCGTCGGTTCGCTCGTAAGCGCAAGTGGCCTGAAAAGACTTGGCCATTACAACTTGGCACCGGATCGAGGAGTGCGGAAGCGGAATGGTACACTGCATCTCGGTGCTGAAGGCGTCGCGAACGGCAAGTGTCCGCTGATGGACGTTAACCGTGTGATCCGCACTTGCAAACCAAGGCATCCCCAAAATAATGTCGAAGTCCGTGTCTAAGACGTCAAACATCACCGGTTCGCATGCATGAGGTGCGAAATAAACCGGTACAACTTCAATGTAGCGATCGAGGAGTTGTTGCGTCCGACCGTCCGCCAACTTGATCGCCGTCGGGTTTGGCTTCCTTCGAACTTGAGCGCCAAGGCCGGCCCTTTGGATAAAGGACTGGCTGATGAAATTGCGAGTCGCGCCGCTATCTAGCAAAGCGTTGCAGGATGCTTGCCCAACTTGGATGCGGACATAAAGGAGTGGTGCGTTGTTAGCATCGTACCGCTGGATGCGAAACTCGCGGGCCACCTTGGTAACATACGCAAGGATGTTCCCACCGCAGCTTCGTCATCCGTCAGCGAAGACGGTGGTGCATAGATGGCTAAGTATGTGTGGAGATGGGTGCATAGTGCTGCGCATTGCGGTCCCGGCAAGCAGCCTGTGGAAGGGAAAGGAAGCCATGCAAAATCCTCGGACGTTAACGGGTCCAAGACCTCTATGTTGAACTCGTGCGTCGAATCCCTTGAAGAACCACTTGAAGACGATCAATTGTTGTTGTTGCCGGACAGAGAAGAAGCCGCACACACATCTTGTCCTTGAGCTTGAGAACCTAGTGAAGGAACAAGCCGGGCAGCATAGTCCTCATAAGAATACAAGAGAGGACTGTCGACTTCCACATGTGCCTCAGAATGAAGAGAGGTCGCTCGCGAAGCAACTGATTCCGAAGGCGTTGAGAGTGCAGCCGCATCACTCTCGGCGGTGCTCACTTTCCCGAAGGGAATTCGCCTTTGACTAGCGTGGGGCACGTCGCGGTGTCGTGCACCGCGCTGTTGCACCACAAGAAGTATCGGTACTTAGCACGGATGCGGTATACGCCTTCCGAGATACCGTAATGTGTCCAAGGCTCTTGAGCCGCTGGTCCGGCCCCGAGGGCTGAATTGGTGTGTGTCTTCGGTTTGCCGCGTCCTCGCCCTCTGGCGGGGCGGCCACCATCTCGGGCGGCTGCCAATCTGTCTCCTTCCTCGAAAGAGGCAGCCTCGTTTGAAGTGTCGGTCGCTGTAGTTGCTGCGACCACGGCCACTTTCGGCTGATGCTGTCCTCTGCCCTGACCTGCAACAGATGAATAGCCCAAATTCTTGGCTTCAATGTTCTTCACAATGATCTGCGAGGCTTTATCAAAAAGCTGCTCACTTGTGGCGAGCGTTTCCGCAACTTGCGTCAAGGCGTTCTGCAACGCCGGGCAGCTCCTTCTGATAAAGAAGTGCTTGATAGCGACAAATGTCGACGGCAAGTTGGGCGTGGATGCCAAGTGTTGGTACTCGGTGATCCAGTCCGTGCTTGGCAGGTCGTTCTGATAGAACCGTTGAAGTTTCTTGGCTGCCTGAAGCTCGGGCGGCTCCACTTGGAACCGCTTATGCCATGCTGCCTTGAGATCAGCCCAGCTGATCTTCGTATGCAGCTCGGAGACTGTGACGTTGTGCGTGGACAACATGTTGTCCAGCCATGCCTGGCACGCGGCCCCTGAGCGGGAGTATAAGTATGTGTGTCGGTTCGGGTTGATGACGTGTTGAATGTCCAACTTCAACTCGAACTGCCGCCACCATGGGATCTGGTATGTCTTCGTTGCATTGCAGAAGATCGGCAGCCCGTCAAACTTTGGGATGCTCTCGCGAGTAGTCGCGGTCGGACTGGCTGCGGTGGCACAAATCTGCTGGTCAATCCGCTGATTTGTCGCTAGAGTGTCGTCCTTGAGCGTCTCGACGTCGATTTCCAAGACCTTGACACGGTCCGTCAAGTTGGAGGGTCCGGCGGGGGTGGTTGTTGCAAGTTGTTGTTCCAGCCGGCGTACCCGGTCAAGCAGTTCATCAATAATTCGAATCTGCTTCCGGACCAGGGTGTCCACGCAGAGGATGTCCTCTTGCTGTGCTGCACAGGTGGCGACCAAGTCGCTCACATGTTCGATTGTGGTTGCAAGGCCACGCACAGCAGAGGGGGCACCGTCCTCTTCAACAGCCACTGCCTATTCGCCGACGATCACCTTGATATCCCCTTCACATTCGAGGAGTTTGTCTCGGCGTAGTCGACTGCGTTCGTCTACGGCCTTCCTTTCTGCCTCAGCGTCCGCCTGTTGCTGCTGTTCAGCGAGGTGACATTGTTCCTCTGCTTCCTTATCTTCCTTCTTACGTGCGGATGTTGCCGCAGCTGCCCGTTGCTTGAATTCTGCTACCATGTCCAGCATGCGGGCCGCATAGGCCTCGGTAGTCTCTCTTGGCTGCTGATCCATTCCGCTTATCTTTGAGTGGGTGAGCACCATGCACTGACATGACCTGCTGCTGCGGTGACTGGTTGCTGACGTGGCACTGCTGTCGTGGCCTGCTGACGTGGCAACTCACCAATGCCGCCGCAGGGGTACCCGGAGGGAGATAGAGAAGACCAGAGGGGGCAACAACATAGGTGGGGAGGGCTGGGATAAATCGCCCAGATAAGAAGCCACTAATCAAAAAAGAAAAGTTTAAACTTTGCAAAAAAAAGTAAGAGAAAAAGAAAAAATACTCGTTTGCAAGAGGGATTCCCGTACCGTTTTAAAAAAAAACGGATTTCGGAATAAAAATATTCCGGATTTCCAAATAACGGAAAATTGCAAAAGGAAATCGAAATTTCGAAAAAGAAGATATTCCGGACTTTCAACAATGAAATTTTGAATTTTAAGAAGAAAAACGAAATCGGAAATTTCAGATGTTGCGCTATTGCGATTTTCCACAACAGAAATAGTGAGAAAACTGCAATCAGACTCACTTTCTTCTTTGCTTCGCATGCATACAAACAGATGGTGATTCACACTGGCGCATAGCGCCCAACTCAAAGCTCAGAGATATGGAAACCAAGAACACAATTCGGATGCAAACTCGCTTCAACAGGCTATGGTGCACCAGCACCTATACATCCCAGCTCGTGTCACTGTGTCCAACACCACTGTTCGCTCACACTTCAACTCTGGATCACCCTGGATCTCCCACACGCAACCCACTGTACACTCGCACACTCGCACACGCCACTCTCTCTCCTATCAGCTATGGCAGCTATGGCCGCTGCCTACCCTATCGCTATGGCTAAGCTTCCTTCTCGCCCACTTCGTCTTCGAGCCTACTGCATACCACCTTGCACAAGTCGCTGTAGCAGCGCTTCCACATGGCTTACGCAGAAATGAATGAATGGCTGGGTGCTGCCTCTTGATTTATACTTCTGTAACTCGTTGGTCTGCCCCTCTCCACCAGGCCTATGGTGCACACAGTCCCTCATGGTACTTGCTTGACTGGACTGGGACTGCTGGACCGGTACCGCTGACTGCATGGGTTTGCACTGCCAACTCAATGCAGTCGCACTGCCGATGTAATGCAGCTGGGCTCACCACTTGCCCACTTGCCTCTGACTAAAACGTGAGGCAGCTTCGAAAGGCCACTTCCGGACCTTCCAGAAGTCTGTGGACTTGGCCTTTCGAGTATTGTAGCAGCTACAACCTTGACCTTTTAGGACTGTAGCAGCTACGACCTTGACCTTTCTGGATTCCTACAGCTACGATCTCTACAGGGCTGTGACTCCTACTTGACAGATCTACAGATCGAACCCCTACCATTACACACAGACAACAACAACTCTCAAAACACAGGTCACGGGTTCAAACACTCGGGGTCGACACWGATATTGTACACAGGTAAAGTGAGGACTAGGGATCGAGCCCTGGGACCTGCATCGGCTACTGCTAACAGGTGAATACCGTTTCACTCCCGCCGGTCTAAATTTGAGGTCCTCCGAGAATAGCTCAATCTAAGGCAGGACCTTTTCCCTTCCTTTCTCCCTCGTAGGCTCTCACTATGTCGGGAGCGGATTCTAGAGGTCCAGTCCTAGTAAACCAGCGATCTTCCTCGGGTTCCTGATACGCAAATCGAACCTTGTATTGTTTCTGTGGACGACCTCTACCTCCTGTTCTGAATACGTCTTCACCTACAATGCTGTCAATGTCGTACCTTCCGTCCATGTCCGGGGGGATCATGGATCTTCTGGATGGAAACTGTTGACTTGTGACACAGGGCAACAACTTTGACGCACGAAACACCGGGTAGGTGTGGAGGTGTGTTAGGATCTCTACTGTGTAGGACGGCCCATCCTCTCCGCCCTTAACTTCTAGAACTGGCCACGGTCCTCTATACGCGGGCAATAGCTTCTGCGAGATGTTCTCCTCAGGCGCAAACTATTTAGACTTGACCCAGACTAAGTCGCCTACTCGAAACTGCCACGGGCGACGACGCTTATTGGCTTGCTCTATCATTCTATGCTGGACCTTCCTGAGGTTCTCTACAACGGTAGCTAACTCCTTTTCGTGTTGTAACGCAAACTCCCTAGTATCGGGCGGTAGCCTGTGAATCTGATCCCGGTTAAGTCCCTCAAACGGTCTGCATGGTCTAAAGGACTTGTGCAACTCGTTGGGAGTGCGACAGGTAGACAAGTGCACGTTGTTATTGTACGCACTGGCTACTTCGGGCAACATCTCATCCCAATTGATCTGATCCGGTCTAATGTACATACGCAGAACTTGTTGCAGGATCTTGTTCAGTCTAACCGTTAGTCTCTGGATGACGGCCAGATGACATCAATAACTTGGAGCCATAGACTCTCATCAACTCCTGCCATATCTGACTAGTGAACTGGGTGTCTCTATCACTAACTATAGACAGTGGAATCCCGTGTTCACTGACCCAATGATCAAAGAACTTCTGAATAGATGACCCTCATGCTCCTGGAGGGTCCTACTGAACACTAGAATGCCATCTAAGTAGACTACTACAAACTTGTCTAACCACGGCCTAAACAAGTCATTCATACAATCGCTGAAAAGTTGTTGGCGCGTTGGTTAGTCCAAAGGGCATAACTATAAACTCGTAGTGCCCATATCTAGTCCGAAACGCGGTTTTATATTGATCATCTGGATGGACCTCTAACTGATGATATCCGGACTTCAAGTCTATCTTTGAAAAATACTTGCAGCCCTGCACCCCGATCTAAAAGATCATCTATACGGGGCAACGGCTCCGCATTCTTCACGGTGATAGTATTGAGACCCCTATAGTCAATGCACATTCTAAGCTCTCCCTCCTTCTTTGGGACAAATGGAACAGGTGCTCCAAATGGAGACGAACTGGGCCTAATCCAACCCTTCTCTAGGAGTTCATCTAACTGCTTGCGCAACTCCTCCAATTCTCGCGGGGGCATCCTATACACTGCTCCTTTAGGAGTCCTGCTGCCAGGTTGGATCTCAATGCGATGCTGGATGGGCCACGGGACTACCCCTGTAGGCGGCTTAGCTAGATCTGTGTACTCTTCCAATAGCTTGACAATGGCGGGATCTATGGGCTTTTCCTCTTTAGGCTCAGTAATTGACCTAACGTAGGCTACAAAAACCTGTTCTTCTAGACGCTCCTTCATCACTAACCTCGCGAATGTAGGAGGGCTAAGGCAGCAATGTGTCAGGGAGTTGTCTACTCCTGACACATGAAACAGACAGGCAGTCTTGACCCCGCCTGACGGGCTAGGGAGCCTACACTCGTGCTCTCTCAAATGGAGTGTGGTCCCGGCTGCCTCTCCCCAATCCATTCCTATGACTATATCGAAGGGAGGCTGTCCTCTACGAGGAGAGTCAGGGAATGGAGAACTTTCTCCACTTTCCCATCTTTCTCTAGGCGAAAGTACGCCTGGACTCCCTCTACGTAATCCTCTACTCGCATTGTGCGATTGTGTGCAAGGATACTCACTATGGGGTTTGTTAACTTCTGGACTTTTAGCCCCAACTTCAACTTCTGCAGCGCCTTTCTACTAATATAGCTGCGCGTGGCCCCATTATCTACTAGGGCCCCTACTCTACCTATGAAAATCTCTACGTCTACTAAAACTAGCTGTCCCCTACTCTCCTTCTTCATCTTGGCCCAAGCGGGCATTCTCTCCTTTAACTCGTCGCCCACGCCTGTGAGGGAAGTGCCTAGAGAGACTCTGACACAAACAGTCTCTGGACAGCTATCTAGGCACCGGCCTGCAACCTCTGCCATCGACACATGTGGTGTGGGAATTTCTTGCCGGCTCGCTCTCAACTTCCTCACATGGCCTTGTGGTAGGGGCAGCTGCTACCCCTACCGACGGCTGCCTTTTGACCCATGGGCAGCCGAATGGGCCTCTCTATACTTTGGACAGTATTTAATGATGTCGCCAGGGTCACCACAATATATGCACTGCCCCTAATCCACACGTTGTTGCCATAAGCGCTGGTCCAAGCCCAAGTCTTCCCAAGGCCGACCCTGTGGCAGCCCTGGGTACCAACCGCCTCTCCAAGAGGGTGCCCTATTTCCCCTATTTGGTGACCTATTCCCTCTATTAGGCGACCCATTCCCCGAACGGTTTTGCGGGGGACCTTGACCCCTTCCTCCCACTTGGCGGTTTCCTCCTCTACCTCCAACCCCCTGATCGCTCTCGGAACGACCCCCTGAGGCCCGGCCCCCTTGGCCCTGGCCTCTACCTCCTCCTTGCGGCCTCCCTCCAGCCGCGACAGCAGCGTAGGTCCTCCCCTGACTAACGCTACTGTCCTCTTCCTCAAGCCCCCACTCAATCTGCTCGTAGGGGACTTCGTTTACACCACCCTCATCTAAAGTAAGGATCAAGCTATCCTTGGTCTTGACCTGTCCTGAGATGGTGTGACCTTTCCACTTTTTGCCCTTGTCTAGGTCCTTATGCCAAAAAGTGGAAATTGACATGGACCGCGCTTCAAAGGCTACCACTTCCCTGCTCAAAGCGTCATAGGTCTTGGTAGGCTGTTGACTCTTCTCAAAGAAATGCCCGCGCAGCTTTTCGGGCATTGCACGATAGAAGAGGTTGACCAGTTGGGTCTCAATGACCCCACGGTCCGGGACGGTGACTAACTCGTCCATCACACCCTTGAGTGTTCTAGCACTCCTCCATTGACGAGAGTGGATGGTTTGCAATCTATCGGAGGCTTTGACACTGCGAGAGACATTTGCGAATCGTTCACGCAATAATTTAAGGAAGTCAGTGAGGGGAGTGAACGTGGAATAAGCGACTAAATCATCATCACAGTTGGTGGCGCGACACAACGAACGGGCGAAGCTCGCTGCTTCGTCTCGGAGGGCATGGACGGCTATAAGGACATGCTCGTCCGGGGAGACCTTTTGCAGATGTACGTAGGTTTTGACATTGGCTTCCCAATTGTCAAAATTCTCCTCTTTCTTCCCGCTATAGGAGTTAGGGAACTTGACCTTGACAGGCTCCCTTCGGGGACGTGCTTCCTCCTCCTTGGGGGCAATCAATTTGGCGCCTTCTATGGCACCCGTGCAATAACGCTCCGTGCCCTCTAGGCGGGCCTTCACCTCTGAGCCCACCTGCGTCGCTAATTCCCTTGCAAAGTCCCTGGGTCCCAGCCGTATAGAGCGCAAGGCAATGTCTTGACCTCTACCAAACAGATATTGCTCTTCCTGGACCTGGGCCACGCGCTCTATGTTTCTCGCCATGATCTCCATCTTCCCCAATACGTCCACCTGCGTCGCCATCTGCGCTCTTTGCTTCTTTACCTCCTCCAATTCTTTCGCCGCCTGGCTCGCCGCCTCCATTCTCCTTTTCTTCTCCCTCGTCCGTCGGAACTTCCACTCCATCCTCTTCTCATCTTCTATAGCCTGCCGCTTGAGTGGGTCTTCTTCTGCATCCCACTCTCTCATGACCGCCTCTTGTTCTTCCCTGGGCACATACATTAATGCCTCCTCTTCTCCCAGGGATAAACCAGCAACCCACTCCGTAATCTTCTTCTCCATCTGATCTTCCTTTCTTCCACTGGATTCTCCTCTCCCTCCTGTCCTTCGCCTTTCCAGTGGCGGTTCTTCTACCTCTTCCTCCTCTTCTACTGCCTTGAACTTCTCTTCGTCTTCTTTCTTTAACCTCTCTTTTTCTCTGGCCATCTCCTCCTCAATCTTCTTCAACTTCGCCGCCTGTTCTTCTATCAAGGCCTTCTTCTTGGCCTCCTTCTCTCTTCTCTCTTTCAGGATGGCAATGACCTTCGCATCCTGCTCTGCTGTATAAGGGGAGGCGCTCGTTCCTGTACGCATGTCTACCATGGTGACAGACGCACAACCAAGTGACGGTTCCGCTCCTCACCACTTAGACGTCCCCCCTGGCCAACTTACCTAAGACTGACTCAGTCTATGACCACAGGATTCGTATAGAACCCTGTCAGCTATGGTCTCTAGCCTGGACTCTACTACTACAGTCGTCACTACAGGATCTGTTGCTGACCAGGAGGCATTTAAGGAGATCCCCCGTAACTCCTCAGGAATTCGTCGCAAACAGGACGACGCGGTGAGCAGATCCTCTCAAGACTTAGACGGCCCGTTGTGCAGCCCACAACTCGGATTTTGGGCCTACCGTGCCACACCGAGCAGCCCGCCAGTCAGTACCGGTCCTTTGGAGGGTTCGT